AGATAGGCGTGGATCATGGATTTTGAAGATACACAAAAATAAACAGCTGAACCCCTTTGGATAACTTCAATTTTTCCTATAACATGAATCATACATGTGATTCGTAAAACAATAGAGCATGACGTAATAATTGACCAAAGTAAAGTAATAATTGTAAAGAACTTGCTAGCTAACAGGACAGAATTCATTTCGAAAAGCAGCGGCTAGATTTTAGAATGAATCAAATGAATGAAGTATATTAGATATTAGATGCATATCAGAGCCATATAACAGCTCTGTTGAACGATTTTATGTGAAAAGTTTAAAAAATCAATCTGTACTAGAGATTATAAATAAAAGTGAAATGTTTATAAGCTACATTTAATAACAGATTGTTAATAAATATTTTGTATATTGCGCCACTATTTTATAATTTATGACTTTCTTGTAATTTAACATTGGAACTCTGCCTTGCCACAGATCTGTCATTCTTTCTATTGCTGACCTTAGACCAAAAACTTATTTGTACACATATAGCCATTAAAATATTTTCCATGTCCCCCAATGTGCTCCTAAAAATGTGTGCCAATGCATAAGTAAATAAGCTGGCGTCCATATACAAAAGACCCCTCTTATATCTAGGTCAAAAGACATAAACATGCGAGACTATTTAAATCATTTAGCGCCAATCAAATGCAGCGCGTCTCATTTAAGTGGCCGCTGACTCACAACTCAGAGACCCGTGAGCCCAAATGGCCGATGCATTAATCACAGGCGAGCGCAACGAAACACAAATACGAATACGAAAAAGTGTGTAAATTTCTCAATATTTGCGGCACACTATATATACATACATATCAGTGTATATATGCATATGCATAGATGTTTGTATGTGTAACTGCATGGAAAAGCGGCAAACGTGTCTACGTGCCAACGCTTAAAATGCCAATGGACGAGCGCCTGGCTGGGTGAGTGCGTTGCTGATGACGATGCTAACGATAAGGCAACGTATGGGGACTGGTCACTAGACGATTCAATATACTTATATTCAAATATAAAGAAAAAATAGCCTGGGCATGCCGATACGATACTTATAAGTAGGTATGTACATATGTATATATAATTTATACGTACAGCTATGCTATTTTTAATGTGTCTGTCTTGTCTGCTGTTGCTCTGTGTAAACATCGGTTGATGTGTAGACATATGTACATGTGTATATTATATGTGTGTAAGTAATGGAAAATTAGTTCCAAAAAATGCACGATGAGACTCAATTTACACATCAAATTATAATATAACTAAATCTTTTAATAAAAAATACACAAAAGAGATAACTGATACCTTTAAACATATGTATTTGAACTAGGAAGTCGTAAAATAAATTCAAAGAATTCAAACAACTATCACAACAAAAATTATTTCAATGTAAAAACGCAATTTTCTTTATTTCATAACTTAAAATACAAGTTTTCCAATAATACATATTAATGTTGGTTAAGTTCTTTTCAATACATCTGAATTGTTGGCCCAGTCCCTCAAATAAGCTACACATTAGTTTTATTTTGTAGGTCAACAAAACAATTAAAATAAAAGTTGAACTACCAGATGTGTTCAATAATTATATTTTATGTTTAAAAGTGTTTACTATTATTATTATTTTATAGAAATAATATATTTTATAGAAGTAATAATGTATTTTTTGGTTTAAGTAGTTTTCGAACCTTTATGTATTGTCTGGAGTTGTAATTTGTGAGCTGGTATCCTACATGCGTTTGTATTTTAGATCCTTTGACTTGTTGTTTGCTTTGACGTGTTGTCTTGCTGAACATTTGTGAGTTTATTAGCTTATATGTATGTCAGCGAATGGCGACCGACATATAACACAAACGTATCCAGCAAACAAACACAACGTTTTCATTGTGTGTATGCATGTGGTTATGCTTTAACTATTTCACAGATCACTGATCACCGCTGATAGCGTAAATACTTGTACTTTGCGTATGATGTTCACAAGATCCCGAAATCGAAAACAACGAGAGACAGCTGCGTATTATAGTTGAGCTGGGTCAACGGTTTGGATTTATACCAACTGCCTCGTCGTGCAACAAACCCGAGATCTCATCGACTGCTTGGCAACAGCAACAGCAAAGCCAGCAACGATCGTCCATCTATATACACTATTTACTGCTCGCATCCATTTTGTTCTTAGTTCGAAGCTGTGCGTCACTGCGACGTTTTATCTCGCGACTGGGTTATCTAGGCTTTATGAGTTTGTTTGCTTTTTGTTTATCAAGAGCACGCGTAGTGAAAATTATAAACATTTGAAATATATGACGACAGGCACTCGTTTACTTTAGAGTATAGATGCGGACGGAAAGGGGGCCTTAGTGTTTGTTAGACCGAAATCACTTTTGATAAACTTGACAACGACGTGAGCGATAATCGCGTGACTACGCATGTTTACGCTTATGACATACAGAATATATGTACATACATACATATATAGCACATATGTATCTGTATATTTGTATTTGTAGAGATTTCCAAATCGCGTAGGTGTTGGCAAATTAATTTTTATTTAAACAAGACGCAAAACCATTGATAAGAGAACAACAAAAATATCAGCTAAAGAAATTTCAAGAAGTTGTTAAAAGGCAGATAACTACATGTAGGTATCTTGTATGTAGATTAAGTATCAACTACTATCTTATAAATAGAAAAGGCTTATGTTGGTGTCAAGCTTGATGTTGAACGAGCTCGGCAAGACTGAAACCAATTATATTTATAATGTAGTGTTAGCGAACACTAAGTGGTCTTACTTCTTATTACGATAATCAAGCCCCAGCTCCATTAATACCTTCGCGTAATCACAAAAACGACCAAATTGCGATGAAGGTCAAGTTACTAGACCCAAAAAGCATAACCAATTACTAAGTAAAAACAAATGGTTAAAATAAGCATCTCCCAATCAACAAAATTACCACAATGCGAATGGCTAGACAGCAATATTAGGCGAACTTAATACGCAACACGTGACGTATACGCAATATGCATGGTGGGGCAAAAAAAGAAATACCTATGAAAACAGCAAACAGTATAAACTATAACACAGTCCGTGTCAAACGGCTGTCAAAAGCCCACAGAAACAATATCAAAATTTTTTAAAACCAAACTAAACTTTCTTTCCTTAGTTTTGTCTCCGCACAAGTGAACGGCAAAAGAAAGCCAATCAAGATAGGGGGCATCTTTCATAACACTCGGCGACTTGACTTGGAAATTGAATTGGTATTATTTATGGGTTTGTTGTGCGAGCTTTGGAAAAAAAAAACCGCCTGAAAAAAATCATGCAATCGCACGCAACAGCGAAATGAACTGGAAACTGGCAAAGGAAGGAATACGAGAAAGCAAAATGAAAGAAAAGTAAAGCACTTGCCGGGAGGCAGGCTGAAAGCTCGCTATTTCTGCTGCTGTTGTTGTTGTTGCTACCATGGCATAGTTGATTGGATTGACGTTATAGAGTTATTTATAGATATTCAATTTGAAGCCCAATGGTCAAAAGAGTAGCTTGGCATGGGTTATAGCCTGTCCACGAAAATGGCATATAAAAATAGACAAAATAGACAACAAAAAATTTAATAATAAACAGCAGCTAGAATAAAAAAGTTAACCAGCTGACCTTCAAAGGACACGAACTCCAGCATATATATACACAGACACACACAAATAAAGGCGTGAGTTCAGAAACTTACACATTTCTAGGTGGCACGTGTTTGTTTTTATTTTTCGGGTGACTAAATGGGGCGCATGGCAACACACCTCTCCCACACATTGTCACAATCAAAAGACCCGACCAATTCTGTTGCTATTTATAACAAGTCGACATGTTCGGGGTTTTTCAGAAGCGTTGACATTTAATAAACGCCGCTGTAAATGCAACCAGCTACGCTAGTTATTTATTCAAATCAAAAATTATACATCGCTTTCAATTAAATTCAAGTTCAACAGCAACGAAAATGAAACAAAATCAACGTCACGTTTGCCTCGTTGGTATTGTATTTTGTTTTTATTGGCAAAATGCTTGCATAAATAAATGAAATCTTTTAAAATGCGTCTAAAAATAACGTCATGCCATAAGATGACGGACTGCCCACGTTTTTTCACTCACTGAACGCGCGTAGCTCATGTGTTTTTCATGTGCCTTTTAATTTGCAATTTTCAACAGCTTTCAGGCCTCCTAAGTTTTCTAGCTCACGTGTTAAAAATAGGCACGCCATTTATTTTCGAGACCTCAGCGACGAATGTCGGACAGTCCACAGAAACTGCGCACATGAAGTGTGAAGTAATGGGCAATATGCAGCTAATACATTCCACGAACAATAAAAACCGACAACAAAAATAAAATGGCCATTTGCTTGAAATCGTTTTTTGTTAAGGTAAATCATTTTCTCACTACATATGTTTAAAAACTCGATCTCAATGTCTAAAAATACAACTTTGTAATTTTGTTTGAATTTTGCAATTTGTAAAAAGATAAGCTAAAACATAAATATTGCAATTTAAGTTTCTTTTTATATTTTTAGGGTATCATTGATTTATTCTAAAAAGTAAACGTATTTTTTAAACTTTTAGGAAATTACACAATTTTAAATATTAACAATAAGTCATTTTTTCGAGTATATCTAAAAATGTTTAATAGGGCTCAGGACTTTAAAATATGGCCAGGATATTATGTTTCGAAGCTTGAGCCGAGCCTTTACACCTTACACTCACACAAAGGAAAATAAAACAATTACCCAACACTGTTAATCAGCCAAAAACACAACCCAGAGAACATATACATATGTTCCATATGTGCGCTGTGTGCCCAATGTGTAAAACAAATTAAATGATAGTTAAAATGTTCGCTAAAAGCTAAGCTAAATTATGCCTAAAATAACTAAAAGTTCGAAGCGCGAATGCACGCCTCGGTGAAAGTGAGTTGCTTGTACTTCGTTACGGAAGTTAACAGCTATACCTACCTCTCGTATTTAACCGCATGGGCGGCATGTCCGTTCGCCTCGCTCCAATAAGAAGGCTCCATAGTGTGGCGGCGGCTGCTGCTGCTGGCGGCAACGGCGACGGCGGCGACCCTGGGCAAAATGGCGGCGGTATATGCTATGCCTGCCTGCTGATGTTGGAGGTGCTGCTGCTGCGACGTCGTCAACGTTGCTTGCAGTTGCGGTGGAATGGTGGAAGGTGTTGTTTACGTCAATGCAGAAAAGTAGTCAAAAGATAAAAACACACCGGCGAAACCGAGTGAGTAAAGAGCGCACGAAGTGAGCACGACACGGCGACGGCGACAAAAATATGACAGCAAACAGGTTGTCGCTGCCGGCGAATTCAGCGATGGCTGCGGCGACTACTCCGATGACTTGTCGGCTGACTTGGTGCTATTTCAGGTGGGTTCACTTTAGTTACACAAGGTGGTTTCGTTTGTTGTTGTTATTTTATAATTTTTTGTTTCACTACCTTGCTTTTAGGTACAATTTTATCACACGTTTTTTTCTTTGTCGTTCACGTTTAAGAGTAACACAATATCCGCAACTCCTTGCCGTCGTGGCTGCGTTCATACACTTGCAATTGTTGTTCTAAATTTAGCATAACATTTGGTATTTATTTATATACTTGTTTCTAAAGCAATTTTTTTTATTTTTCAAAAAATGATTTTCTTGTCGTAAGATAAGCCTGTTGTTGGCCAGCAGACAGAGGTACTCTTATCAGCTCTTTGTTTATGTACTACTTCAGCTGATAACGTGGACGTACATACATATGTATGTATTGAGCTGAGATAAGCTGAACTGATAATTACCAAACGTTTTATTTGTGTTTTGTTTTTATGGGCGCGCCGCTTAATAATTTCAAGCACGTTGGCAGCGCGTTTTTTGCGGCTTTTCTAGCATTAAATATAACAAATTTTCGTGCTGCTGTTTGACTTAACTTGTAATTTTCTGCGGGCGACAATAGACACCGCCCGTTTTGACTTTTGCCCACGCGTTGCAAAACCTTGAAATTTCTTTACACTCACGCATAAAACTCGCTCGCTCACGGGGCGCCAACAAAACGACAAAAAATGTCGAAAACGTGATTGGATTTATCGCACGACTAAATGTATATACATATGTATATGTATGTACGTATATGTGCGTCTGGCTTTTTGCCTTTATACTCTGCTCTTCAATTTACACGTTTTGGCTTGGCAAACACAATTTTCTTTATTAATTTCTGTTATACGCGGCTTTATTTTATTTGTTTTATTAATACACAACTTCCTTCGTTTCACAGTGGAATTTTACCAGCACATTCGAGTGGCGTATTTTGTTGTAGTTGCTGTGCTGTTATTTGTGCGTGCGTGCATGTGTATATATCACTACAATAACACTTTATATATGTACATATGTATATACAAAATTTTGTTGTTGCTGCTACTGTTGCTTTTTTATATTTTGTTGTTCAGCAAAACGCTTACTTCGTAGTTATTCCGCTTCGCCGTCTGAACGCCACCAGAGACTGAACTGAAATGAATGAAAAATACACGACGAATTGCTAAAATTAAAAAACATAACATAGCAACAACAAAAAAGCAGCGAGAGAACGCATTGCCGAACGTGAGAGCGACAGCGAGAGAGAGTGGCAACTTTGTCAAGTCATTTCGATGTCGTGTGTGTGTAGTGCGTTGATGTTATCGCATTTCGTGCGCGGCGAACGTGATTGCCACTGTGGGACAAAACATTTATACTTAGAAAAATTTTCTTAAATATTGCTACAAATGTTTATTTAATTCATTTCCAAATGCGACTTACACAATTTTAGTAATACATATATAGAAATTGTTTCCATACAATACTAATTGAGTTTTGTCTCTGATACTAAGAGCTTATCATTTACTAATAGATTCATAGAAAATTAATATAAAATTTTTTGTTTTTTGATAAAAAAAAACGTAGCCCATATAGGCGAAGAAGCAAACACACATAAGCTCAACAATTGTATACGAATAGATAGGCAAAAAGAATACCGTTACTGATGTCAACAGGGAGGCGTGCGTTGCGTGCTCTTTTTGGTATGTGCTGTAGTTTGTTATTTTGTTTGTCAACCTAAAAGGCCAGAGACGACAACGACAAAACTCAAGGTAGGCATCGTAAACAAAAAAACCAACAACGACGGCAGCTTGGCACATAATAAAACACGTGAACGTGACAAATTCCAAAGCGAAAAGGCGCTGCCTCTGCTGCCGCATATTGGTTACAGTTGACAACAACAAGCAGTGCGCTACGTTGTCTACTACACCCACACAAACACACACAGACCGCCGACATCTTGCTTTTGTTACAGGGCGCAACAGTCGTCGTTGGTTTCGGCTCTGTGTGTGAAAACATAACATACAGGCATTTATATACTTGTATACATATGTATATAATCATGAGTAGATAAGTCATGTATACCAATACATAGAAAAGTGTTTATATATGTACATATGTACATATATATATATATGTGCATTTATTCGTATTATTAATTGAAATAATCATACGCAGCGTTGGCTCGTCACAAGCACGATTGCCTGTTAGCTATTTCTACACTCCCCGCTCATGCCATCGGTAATATACTGTGGGACTAAATGGACTATATTTGGCTTCAAAGTCTATCGAATTCAAAAATTCATGACGGCCGATCGATTTCCGAAAAAAAACAATGTTTTAGTCATAAAACGTCAGCAACTCCAATTTTCAGAACTTTGTTTTACTGATATTTATTTACTCAGATTTATTTTAAAGCGAAAGCAACAACGAGACAATCAAATAATTTGCATACAACTTTATATTATTTTACAAGTAGGATATGAAAAGTCTATTTTTTTAAATGTTTGTAGTAGAAACCTTTTTGGTAAATAATACTGATTGGTTTTAATGGAATATTCATGGAATATTTGATTATTTTTATTATTATTTCTATTTATTTGTTTGTCATCCTAATCCTAGCGTAACAAGTATCAAATACAATAATATAATTACAATAATTATTTAATTATTTATCTTAAAAATATAATCTTATATTATCTGGAATTTAAATGTAATTTTTAAATTATACAATACATACAAAACCAATCGCAAGACTTTTTGCTACGAATATAAGGCTTTTGAAATTGAAATTTGAAGCTTCTATTCGATAGTGCGAGGTGCAATTTAACTCCAAAGAGCTGAAAATGGCAACGAGTGTGCGGCAGCGCCCGCAGCTTTACAATCAAGACATGTTGAAAGCAGCAGGGAGCGCAAAAATTCATTGGGCATGACGTAATATCTCACGCGACGTGAGCGTGTCAGCAGCAGGCCAATACACACACAACTCACTCTCACACACACACTTTTGCGCTCACGAGTTTGTTGTTGGTCACGTGTTGTCGAAATGTTTCGGCTACATGTAGTATTGGCGTTCAAATGAGTATATCAGCGCGTGTCTCTATCAGTCCAGCTTGTTGTTTATGTTGCCACAGCGTATTTTGTTATTTTCCAGTAACTTAATTAAATTTAAACATCGTTTTACCCGGGCTTGCACAATGTATTGTTTTTGTTCGATGGCATTAAGGCGGCGCTTGGTTCTAAAAATATCGCAGCAAGCTGAGCCGAACGCTCCAAAGGTCATTTGTGGCACTCGTTGCTCAGCAACAGGTCAGGTCACATCCCAAAGTACAATACGAAATAATTACAATAATGAATAACAGCGACAACAACAACAATTGCACAACGCACGTTCGACTAAAGCCACAAACGTGCCAAGTGGAACAAAAATAAAACAACAAAATGGTTGAGGAGAAAAAATTGCATTGCTCCAATGTTTGCTTGCATAAGCTACCTGTCTGGCTGTCTGCCTGTCTGTCTGTCTGTCTGTCTGCCTGTTTGCATTGCAGTTGTTATTGGGTTTTTTATTTTTCATTTTATTTTGCTTTGCTCTCACAGCTTCAATTATATTGTAAATCGGCAGAATTATGACTGCTTTACATAATAGCATATCGGACAGTTGTAGCTTCGATTGACGTAGTCGTCCACACGTGTGAACGGAAAAAGCGGTTACCCTCGTTTTGGGCAGATCACATGTCGACAGACACACACTCACAAACACGCATACACACATTCATACATATATAAATACATATGTATGTATGCGCATACTTTCAGGCACATGTAAGTTTTATTTGCTGGGAAGTTTGTGTTGCGTATACGCCCAGTTTTACAATGTTCAAGATAAATATGTATTACAACACTACTTGGCAAAAGTAATTACACAATTAGATTGTACTCGTATATTGAAACCCGACTCAGTTCTTATATTCTTCAATATTTAATGAACCCTCTCATATTTGTACTAAGTATTGGGTTTAAGATAACGCTGGAAATTACGCTGATAGTCCGAAAAACAAAGTTATGATAAATGCAATCAATACAGTATGTGCCATGGTGATTAACCTGAACAGCAAATTTCAACCTTTGAGGAACTCGGCCAATCTGAAACTATCTAAATCATATGAGGTCAATGGTAGCGAGCCGACAAAGCTTATAATTCTTACATTTTTTGTATTTTGCTTTCTGTGTATTAAACAGAAACGTGTTTCAAATCGAACATGTTCAGCTTTTAGGTAGATTCAGAAATACTTTAGTATCAGAATTTACCTGTTCCTAATATTTTGCTTAACACCTCATTTAAAACTCAAAATACTTAAGCAAACTACTGTGCTATACTCGTATATGGCCAACGGAAATGACGCATCACACACGTATACGCCCCGTGTTGCACGTGCATAGTAATAAAAATTTTCAACAGCCTCGACTAAGCTCCCATTACTCAAAATAAATTCGTAAAACTTATCAAGACAGGGCAAACAAATTGTCGGCAACAACAACAACTCGTTCATCGTCAAGTTCAATAAAATTGTACCGCTTTTGTTGTAGTTTTTGTTATAGTCACGTGTCATTAGGTGCGCGCTATTAGCTGCGTATCAAAAAATGTTACGTTGCCTGTGAATTTCCATGAATAAAATGCAATCAGACGGTAACAAAAACAAAAGCAAAAAAAAAATAACTGAATAACAGTGACAAGCAGTAATATGTTTAAATTTGCAGTGGCAAAAGTTAAATAAATAAATAAACTGAGCAAACTGCATACTATATACAGAAGAAAGCAGAAAGGCATGACAATATACATAAAATATATACTAAACGAGTATATTCAGTGCATGGACTGCAGATTTAAGCCACAAATTTTGAGCTGAGCGTAAGTACAAGTAGCTTTACAAAAAATGGCTACAGTAACAACAACTAAAAAAGAATACAAAGATAGTTAAAGAGTGTAAAGATTTCATTATTCACTTTTAATTTTCATAAAGTTTGAGCAAAAAATGTTTAAATAATATTGGACTATGTTATGAATCTGATCGCCAATACTAATGATATATGTATAATGGTGAACACTTTCCACCATTTCAGATACATTTCAGATAAAAACATCTGACATTGAAGAAGTTATTTTTTAAATAAAAGAGCTACATAATATACGCTTGCAGGTATAAATACATATGTATATTTATAGAACTAGATTTAACTAGATTTTTATTATCTTTATGAATGAACATTTCACTTCCATAAATCAGCTTGTTTTTAATGAGTTTTTGGGAATTCAACTGATAAGCAGGTGATTGCGGGTTTTATGACTTATTTTGATACATATAAGATTTTTGTGGTTAGCCACAAATGTGTTATGTTGAAACATATACTAATGTTTCGAAATAGAGCAAGTTCCATCCACGACGAAGGACTAAATCGATAGATACTGTGTGGAACATATATTAGTATATTGAAGAAAACTTTTTATGTAGCTTTTCATTTTGACAGTTGTTTGAGTTGATAAATTGTAGGTAAGCATTCTGGACGAGTGTATATTATTTTTATTATTATTGACTTCTGTAACACTGTGCTATTAATTGAAATGTTTCAAGACCTGACGACTAATTCATCAAAAGCGATGTCAAATAAAATTTGTAGATCCAATTGGCACTATTTATTAGACAATTTGTTCTACAAATATACAATACGAATAAAATAAAATAAAAAAAATGTGTTAGCAACTGGCACCAGCCCCCACGACAAAGTTGGGGCCGTGTAGAAAGAATCAGCGTTGGTCGTGTCAATATTTAGCGCAAAATTTTAATACACATTCGACACATATGTATGTATGTATATAGGTATATAAATTTGCATATATGTATGTACCTACTTAGACATGATTGCATATACCTACATGTATAAAATGATTAGCACCACCCTAAAATAAATAATCAAAACGGTGAAGAATTGCCCTAGTAGGTGAGCAAGACGAATGCGTGCTAAGCGGCGCGCTTATGCCTTTCGCTCATAAAATCCTAGGTATACCTGAATGTACGAAAATATATACACATATATACAATATATATCGTACATACATGCGTATA